AATGAAGCTGTAGCAAATGGCGCCCAAAAATGGCCCTTTCTATCATCCAACTAATTTGCACAGCTTTAGGCTAGGTGAGCCAGTCCCATCTCTACGTAAGAAAAAAACTTCAAAGCTCTGTTCAACCATGAGCGTTATACTATTTATTTATTTATTAATTTCTGCCTGTTTTTCGCTACTGCGCATCACACTGTTATGCACATATTGGTACCTGTAGAATATGTACAGGTAGAAGAGCACTGCGTGATGTGTGTAGAGCAGGAAATGTGCCACAAGTGAGAGATTCTGCATGATGACAGTCTAAATCAAGGTATCGTGTTGAACACATATAAGATTAAATGCTATATCACATTCATAGGTAATGAACATTTATTGCAAAAGAAATCCACAGACTAGCTTGAATTACTTCATGGAAAGTTCCTACAGCATTTCGGTGCTTGGCACCATGTCAGGTGTAGATCTGCCTTAGCTTGTGTGGTGGAGCTATCTGAGGGAATCTGTGCCACGACAGAAGAATAATACTTATAAAACATATATTGTTTGAAGAACGTGGCTCTCATCACTGATCCGCCACTGTTCAAATCCTATCTCGACGGGGGACCTTCTTTCGAAATTATACTCTGTTTTTAAAGAATAAGAGGACAGAGCATTTGGCGTTGATCAACCCCTTTTACAGATGCACCAGTCGCTCTAATTCTATTCAGAAAAGTAGTGGCCTTTTGAGCGCAGTCTGCCCTTTACAATAAGCTTCGACGGGAGGCAGCCGACGTACAAATCAGTGCTCTTACCCTAACAAGTCTGGCTTCAGTTCACCGACTCGTAGAGTGTGCGGCTTCGTCGTCCTAAACGGCGCATTTCCAGGATTGATCCCACGGCCCCGATGGTGGTGAGCGGCACTCCTTGCCACTATACTACTATTGCTTTTTTTCGGCTTTTTGGGAGTTTTTTTTTACATTATATAGTACCATAAAACTTAATAACCAAGCTGTTGGAGTGTGTTTGATGGAACTCAAACAATTCTCAACTGTGTATTGACAAGAACCCTAGTACTGGCTTAACCTTAATAAAAGTCAAGTACAATATTAGCCTCATTCCTTGACAGCGTCCCATTTTAAATCCTTGTTTCGACCTAGTCCACAAAAGGATCAAGTTTCTGAACCACTGGATAAAATGACTCCAAGTATCAAAACGTTACTTTCAAGATCGTAGTTGATAAGACAATAGCGCTTTATATACTACAATATGCTATACAGTATGATTTATATTTGCTCATTCAACACTTTTTCCTCCCTTCCTTACTGAAGAGCACGGAGGGAGGGTATTTTTCCAGTTTGGCTTCCGTCTAAGGGCACGTGCGAAACGGAAGTCGGAACTAATTCTTTGATTATTCTCCCTAAAAATTTCTAATTTCTATGTTTTATATGGTAACTGGTACGTAGCACAATTGCCGCCGACACCAAGGACCGCGGGTACAATCCCGGCGGGGGCGGAAAGTTCTGCCACAAATCAGCTTTTGCTGAGATTAATTTCTATGTTTATTACTTCAATCCGAACCTGTTGCTTACTCATATGCTGACGGTAAGATGGAAAGAGCGACGGATATAGTTGTCTAATTACTCACCTGATTATCCAGACCTAAGATGTTGGTCGCCATTCTGTAGATGTAGTTGGGCATGTTAAGCACGATGAACACCCATGTGACCACCATTAGCGATCGCGTCAACTGCACATCGGTGTATCTCAGTCCTAAAACGTATTCTGATCCGATTGACGATCTTGAAGAAAGGGCGCTAGCCGAATTTGAGAGTACGGTTATTCAACGGTTCGATCCCAAACGATACTAGCGCGGATTCACTCCTTTTGTAACTTACAGGGTGGCCAAAATTATAAGGACCGCGTGTGCGCGCGGTCATATCCACCTCATTCCGAGCCGCTTCATTTTCATCTACTTTTCTATGAACTCTGTGAGAAGGTAGAATTCTTCTTCCTAATGGAACCATGTCTCATGCAGTTCTCAAAACTAGTGAAATAACAACATCTCCTTACGTCAGTCCTCAAATTGAACTCACTAAGGGCTCTGGCACGTTACATCTAGCGGCAGTCTAACGTATCAGGGAAGCTCTTATGGGCAACAGTTCAACTCTTCAATAAGTTTGGAACCACCACAGATGGAAAATTCGGAGACTCGAAAGTTACAGTTACCACCAGGATAATTATCAGATGCAGAAAACTAGGTCTCCCCTTGTCGACTTTCGTACTCCCAAAATGAAAAAAAATTGATGTGAAAACCCAGCCAGACACTCTAAAGACTCCACATCTGTAGTGGATAGAAAGCCACTCGAGTAGTCTACTTGGGACTTTTTACAGGACCGAGCACCCAAGAATAAAGCAAAAATTCTCTAAAAAGCGATTTTTCGAGTTCGTTGCTTTCGAAGAATTGTTACAATGGAACCTTCCACCTAATAGCTCTAGATTTCTGTATTTTACACCCTGGAGGCAAGCGCAAATAAATGCCCCACAAAACTTTGATCCCCTGAAGAAAGCAGAGCAGAAGGCCTGGAAACATTTTGACACGCCTCAGTTGCGTGCCACCGCACGCGCCATCCCCCTTCATCTGAAGGCTCGTGTAAACGGGGCAGGTGGCAGATCTCAATTCTATTCTGGAATTACTTTGAGATAAGAGTTACAAACACTTCCCTGAAGTTGTTTGTTCCATCAAGCTACTATGCGTTTTTAACGACACAATGTCTTGGTCCTCATAATTTTGGACCACCCTGTAGGTTCCTCTTTTCCTCTGGGTTTCGCTTTTCCTTACCCTGTTATCAGAACTCATGCTACAATGCTACAAAAGTAAAGGAACTGGTGCCGAGGATTTTTTTTTCGTAGCTCTTCTTTCAAAGGCGCAACAGAAATACAAGTGAAGCACCGCTGTGCACGGGTAGTAACACAGAAAGCTGCTGCTTCTTGGATGCGCAGAAATTTCCTTCAACGCAAGCAGGAGAGACTGAAACATTAGGTTGTGAAGGCATACGACAACAGACCTCTTTTTGACTTTTTCTTGGGTTTGTCCGGATCGTTAGAAAAGTGGTTAGATAGTCGACCGAGAGATGCTCTGAAAAGTAAGTTTTTGAGTGAATTCTATCTTTGGAAACTAATGTCTAAACGGCAAACTAACCTCGTATAGCTCCTCAAAGTCTGACTTTGCACGGACGTAGCTGACGTCAAAGGAGCTTCAGCGTCCGGAGTGTGAAATGACACGGTCGGCGAACCAGGATACTTTCTAAAAATGCGCATTCTAGGAATTTTTTTGAATGTCACTCATTCATAACGCTATGTCTGCCCCTTGATCTTACTCTGCATAATTTTTGGATGTCACGCGCTGTGTTAACCTTTCTGCTGTGATGCTTTCCGGGAAGCACCCCTGGTTGCGTTTCTGGAAGCGTAATAGCTGTCGTTCATTGCTTGCAAGAATTCTGAGTAATCCTGTTTACCGCGACGAAACGCCGCTTATAAAGGAATCGTTGACAGGATTAAGAGAGGATGATTCAGTTAACGAAGAGCTCTAAAGAAAAGATTAACATAAAATGGCCACGTCTCAGCGCAGCGCAAATAAGTCCGATTTGAAAAATTTCAACGTGAATCCGAACTCAAAATTTGAGTAGCGGCGCAGATTATCTATTTTAGTTGTGTGAATTTTTTAATGAACAATGTCGCTGGGTAAGTAAGATTAAAGCCATTCGTGAAGAACACTCCAGACAAGGTGAAGCTATTAGTTCTCTTAGTACACTCAGAGGTTGTTGTATCCAAGCAAGAAAAAAAAAACGATAATACCTCCAGAACTATAAACACGAGGTGCCGATCATTATTTTTGGTGATAATTCGTTTAGAGTTATATAGGTAATAGTGCAAGCATTTGATGCGGAGATGTGCAGAATAGGGAGGCAGGCGATACACAGCCCACCGATGCAGTCGCCAATCATGCCTGCTTACTAAATCTTGGATTGTGCATAATGCAAGTTCATTGACATAAATCACACTGAATCCCGGACGCCCTTTTCACAAGCTCCCAACATTGACACAACTTTTGCGTACCACATTCCACAACCTCATTCACTGGGAGATTGCTACAGTAGCGGTCAAAAGTTTGGAAACTTTTTTATTTTTGATCTAGTGTAGCCATAGACAATGAAATTGTCCCGAATTCACATATTATATACAGAATCAAGTGTAGATTACGATAAGCAACATAATTTTTCGAAAACGAGATTCGCTTTGAAAAATACGAATTTTTATAAGAAATGGCGCGTCAAAAGTTTGGAAACTTCTCAATTCCAAGCGAATTCGGCAAAATAGCTCTGAATCTACATCAGCGCCGAAAACGTTAAAAACATTCGAAAATACTGCTTTCAAAGAGACTGACTATTAAGAAACAATTTTAATTTCGTATTCCGGATTGTAGGGTTTAAAAAAGGACCCCTCATGGAAAACTGCTTCCTTTGCATATGAATTCATTTTGAAATTACACATTACTCAATGGTTGAACTAAAATTAACAGAAACAAGTGAACATTGAAGAGTAGGAATCATAATGATAAGGGAAACAAAAAGTTTCCAAACTTTTGACGCGCCATTTTTTGAAAAAAAATCTTATTTCTTGAACATGATTATAGATTTTTGAAAATTGTTCTTCCCATCGTATTCCGGACTTGATTTTTTATGTAATATCTGAATTTGGGACAATTTCGTTATGTGTTGGGCCGCGCTATAGATCAAAAATAAAAAAGTTTCCAAACTTTTGAAACTCGCACTGTACATACATAAATGTCAGCTCACCGTGGAATGTGCCTCCAAGTAAGAGTCGAACAGTAGATTAGGGATACCTTCTAGCTCGATTGCTCAAACATTGGGTTGCCCATAATTCCTGTCTTATTTTTATTCGAATTCAAATTCTTCTGTCTAAGACCATTGCATTGCGAAATGCGTTAATATGTTAATTGTGCTTCAACTGCCTTAACAGAATGGTTTCAGAAAAGCGAGTCCGTAAGGGTTAATTACCTTGGGGTAAATAACGTCAGAACAAACCCTACTGCAAGAGGATAGTAGAGAGGATGTGGTGTGATCTGTGATTGTTTGCCTAGTCTATACCACAGCATAGGTCTGCCCTAGTGCCCAATCGCAATGTCAAAAACCGAATGAGTCATGAAAAGCAATCTCATACTGGGTCTGCGGTCACTTTCTTTTGATGAGGGCCCTTGCACCATAAGTTGGGAGTGGATCCGGACGTTGCTACCAGGGCATTGTAGCAGATACCTGAGCGCAGCCGATGCACCAGCACACGCCATCAGTATGGAAAGGACTGCTGCAGAATGAAGTTTTGATCGAAACCTTATGGTGCGGCCGACCATGAGTGAGAAGCACGCATGAGCATATGGGGAATTTCATTTTGAAACGGCAAATGCAGAGCTTTCCCTAACCGGTCAGCAGTGGAGATGAGTCACGAGTCTACTGCGACAACAATAAGCGTCACGTCAGATGGCTACCTCGCAGCTACGAGCTCGATTTCCGTATTCTAGTAACGTCACTCCTGGATTCGCTGGGCGACCTGGATTGGGAATAACCCCACTGTATGAAGACAAGTATTGCGAGAATCAGCGTGCAATGGCCCTCTAGGCTGGCTTCAAATTCGCGAGGGAACCGTTGGAAACATCTCAGAATCTCCCTTCTCTAAATGGAGGAGAGAAAAATTGAGGACTACGACCACCCAGAAAACGACTTCTCCAAATTCTTCAATACTTTCTTCATGACTGCAATTATGTACGACTACTCTTTAATCTGCATATCTGTACGAGGTGTAGAGATATCCTCCCTCGCAGCCACACCTACCGCTGGTTAACCAATCTACAAAGGTCTAGATGGCAGTAACACCTTGAAAGTGTGAATTGTTCGTTACGATCTAGGTTACGTAAAGTGACAACCTTGAAAAATCGCAGTTTTTCGTTCATATTTAGATCGCAAATTGACAATGTGAATGAAAACGAAGATTTCCATTTCATTTTGCCACCGCAAAAATCGAAAAAGTAGAGGAGTAAAACACGGCTTTAACGTTCAGCTTACCTTATATGTGCATTGAGCTTGTATATAACGAAGACATTGGAAGTGAATATAATTAATGAAGGCACTAGCATACAGATAACCGTCTGAAAAATGAATTATCGATTGCCGATCTACTGAGACTCATGACTATTGCATCAAAATCCCGATTTTTTTCAGAAAATATCTAAAGCAGGCACCAATGTAAGCCCCTACAAAAGCACATGTATGAAAGCATGTAAAGTCTGCCGGTGTGTGGTGTGTGTGTGCGTCTGTCGAAATACAGGACGTCTGAAAAACCACTTGGAAGGGCAGGGTGAAGTTTGAGACGCGAAAATTTTGAAAGAGTTCGATCGCAAAATAGCCTAAAATCTTTTCTCCCAGCCTCAAAAAAAATTAGCAGCGTGTACTTCGGTATTACGTCAACGAAGGAAATCCATGGCATCAGCGTTCTGCAACGATTCACATATGAAACAAAGGTTGAAGAAGGGGGAAATGGCCCAGTTGCGGTACAGGCAGACCCTCTGAGCGTGCGGACCAAGGCGCAATTGGCAGCGAAACATTTGACTTCAGCTCTCCCATTAGCTAATCTGGCGGCGTGGCGCCGGTGTATCGCCCACCGACCATCAATATCCCTGCTCGCCACTCGGTCTATAACTTGGGCGAAAGATGAGACGCAGAAAGAGCGTAGGTGTGAAAGGGCACAAAGATGAGAGGTGGCATCAATTGACGCAACCAACAGCAAGGGAGGGGTCCCGTTTTGGGATGCGGCACGCATTCTACTTCCATTTGTACATTCGCAGTGGCATTTGAATGCGATGTGGCCTATACAATGACTTGCGGGGGCCAGCCGATGTTCAAGTCAGTGTTTTTATCCTCCCAGACAAGTCTGGTACCAATTAACCGACCCCGGAGGGATGGAAGGCTTGGTTGGCCCGGGCGACTCACGACCCAGGATTTGATCCCGGACCGCTCGCGTGGTGAGCGCGCCACTTGTCACTACACCACTTCCGCCCTAAATGTACAAATGGAAGTAGAATGCGTGCCGCATCCCAAAACGGGATTGATCAACGGCGAATGCTTTATCCTTTTATTTATCTTCTTTCGTGCATCGCTGCTGCCTGGCCATACAAACTAGAAGGATTGAAAATAATCTCTTAACACCAATTCCGCTCGTTTGTCAGCGAAAAAAATTTTCTGAGATTTCTCCCGAATGCTCTGGAATCTTCCATGGGTGGTATATAGTAGGAGTGGACCGTGCTACGTACGGTGATCAAATCAGCTTTCCCAATAATGGCGTTTGCATGGCACTAAATCAACTTTTCCCGCCAGACACTCCGAGCGCTCATTCTGTAAGAGCTCCGCCTAGAGAGATCTGCCCACCAGAGGTGGTCAGGATCAGTCCCGGGATAGGCCTGGGCACGTTCTCTCACATGGCGGTTTCGGCTTGGTTTAAACGCTCCGCAGCGAAGACTTTGATCTTTCTGACGCAACACACGACTACTGCCCATTTTGACGTTTGACGGTATTTCCCACGGGTGATGATCTGTCTGGAGGATTGACGAGTACAAGGGCTTCACAATGCTAGCTGCTCGAAAAGATTGCAGAAGAGCTTCGCCGAATATAGCGACAAGTCAACCTGCTTCACGACAACGCGCAACGTCGCGGGTGTTCGGTCTCAAGCCACAAGACTCTGAAGCCAGGCAGGACCGCGGCTGCCCGTCTGCCATATTCGTCAAACCTATCTATACACCTCTTCAACCTTTCCTGCTCGCTTGCTCATTACCTGGAGAACAGGAAGCTCGACGACGTAAACGAGCGCAAATCCGACACCAGAAGGTTGTTTGGCAAAAATCTTCCTAATTTCTAATTTCTGCGGTGTCACCCAAATGCCCGAAGGTTGGCGTAGTGTTGTTGTATCTAATGGTCAATATGTTATGGATCATTGAATAAATAAAGAATAAAAAAAATAAATTCAAAAATTGAGCTACAAGTGTTAAGGAACTTTCCTTCCAACCTAATAATTCACGATGTATTGCTTTTCAGCGTAATTTTCTTGTTTTAAGTAGGCGCGCCACAAAACAAAATTCATAAATTGCCTTTAAGAAAGGCCTTGTGGGCGGGGAGTATCCTGAAGTGGGCGGCATTTCCTACACATCTCCATAAATCCGCTCAGAAATACTCGGAGACAGGAGAAAAGTGGATAGATGTTCGCCAAGGAATCAAAGTCAATACTACTGATGGGTGGAGCGTGACCGAAAACCGAAGTGGGCGGGGTTGGCGGCGAAACTTTTTTCAAATTCGAGACTGTCCAGAAGCCAAGAATGAAGCAAATGAAGCAAATGTAGACCCGTGAAAGAGAAGGATTCAGCCTCACAATGGGCCGAGTGGGCACCAGAGTGGCCGGAGCCGGAGTCAAAATTTTAGTTGCTCTAATGGGTATCGCTGTGTGACGCACGCGTTATAGTGCGGAGCTAAACTGGTAATTTTATGTTTTGCTTTAAATTCATTGTATAATTCACATTTCCCCACAAATATGAGCGCAATATTAAAGATTGCGATGAAAAGTCACACTATAATCAAATAACTGGTTGGGAAGAAGAAGCACATGAAGAAGGGATCGAGCTTTCTTTTGTATGTGCCCTTATCGTTAGATCGAAATTTAACGGTTGTATTCTCTTTTGCTTACGCTCATCAGATGCCTTTCTTTGAAATTGGGGCATCGAAAACCGCAAGGACTTTCATCACAACCTAACACAACTGGCAATCTGGATTATTTCCTGTTTTTAGTACACGCCGGTCCCGACAATTCGATAGTGTTGCTTGATGAGCAGTGAACGGGCGGCGGAAATGATTTATCGGAGAGCCCTGGAAAGCAGACAGGGCATGGGTTCTGCAGCAGCAGACAATAACAGCGGCGATGACATCATCTGCTACTTCGCAGAGCAGACATAAGCACTTATCAGCTAGCCGTTCTGCTAGA